ATTGTACTTATTCTTTTGTTTCAGAAAATTGTTCAAAAGTGGGGGGACATACATTACATGAGAACTAAATCCAACAACCATTTTCTTTACACTATTTACTTCTGGAGACTGATTTCATCAAAATCACATGGTAAGTTTATTTGTAAAAATCCCCTCCCCCTTTTGAACACTTGTAATGTTTGACATGAGCTACATGTATTCTGCTTAAATAATGTTCAAGTTTAATTAAAAACAGGGATCAAAAACTAAAATAAATGCAGATTTTTACCTCTTCAGCCAATTTTGGCTGCTGGTCATATCAGGGCAATAGGCTTTGTAGTTCTTTCTTCTAATTTCTTGTTAGTTCTCCTGTGTTCCACTTCCACTTAGTCCCTGAAAAAATAAAATAGTACAAGAAGATTAATAGTGATTCAATACAAATTATTACAAATTTTGTTTAAGCATTATCTAATATTCACTTGGTCAGCAACAACTGAGAAGTGTATCATGAAAGTATGCAGTATAAGTAATGTCTGAATCTTACTAATATACCTTCCAATAAAGGCTGTAGATGAGTGATATACAGACTCCTCCATATCATAGTCTCCTGGTCAGCTTAACTTCTATGAAATAAGACATCAAACGTATAGTAAAACTTTAAATCTAGTGAGAAATAGAATTGACAAGCGGTTCAATAATTTTTATTACATTTTGTGGCCCAATCCTAAACCCTGGGGTAATGATTTGAACCAAATTTAATCTACACTATCAGAGATGCTTCCATAAATATATGATTAAGCATGGTTTTCCTGTTCTTAAAGTTTTAAAATTATTCATTATAAATTCCTATTTAAAACTCTGATCATCAATTGTAACCCCACCTTAACCCTGGGGATCAGGATCTTAACAAGATATAATCTACATAACCTAAGAAAGAAAACAAATTATCTTTATTTCATCTTTCCTCAGTGATATCCAAGAAAAATATCTTCACAGACTCTTCTAATACATTTCAATAAAATTCAATATAATAGAATTTATTTTACCTAAGAATGCCTGGTACCAACTTTGGTTTTTGTCCCTCTCCCTTCTTCAAAAGAACTCCAAATTGTGGTAATTGGCCAGCAGCAAGAAGGGCCTGAATGTTAACCTCATCTTCCAATGATGGTTGCAGTTGAATGCGAGAGACACTCCTTGGTGAATAAGAAAAAGAAAGAAAAGAGATAAAAACAGATATTTGAAATAAGAAATGTAAATAAAATCTACAGGATCTAGGTCAGTCTATACTTCCTTCTGCAAACAGATACGACAAAGATTTAAAATGAATTTTTTAAAAACATCATAGCTTCAAGTGATAAAAACTAGGAAAGCTTTTGTAAAGAGTGAACAAAGATGGAATCTTACCTTCTTCTCAGTTGTAACATGCCATTGGTCCCTCAACTGGTGAATCATCCTCCACAGGTCTGTGCATCCAATCTTCAATCTTCACCTCAAGATTGACTTCAGCTTAGTCCTCTCCCTGTTAAGATATGATATTGTTTAATTACCTTAACATTCCTCAAGAAATAAGAAGGAAAGGATATATTCTAAAACTGATAATGGAAATTAAGTAGTCTCATCAAATAAGAGATCTCAAGTAATTACATAGGCTAAAGTGCATAATATAAGGTCAAAGAATGCAAGAACATGGATCCAAAGAGGCAACAATGCAGCATGTTACCTACCATTTGGGTTGATGTTCACCATTAGTCATATCTTGGCAGTGGACTTCACTTCATCTTTTGGCTTGCCTCAGTTGTGTTCCTACAACTTACAGATAATTATTCAAAACAATTCAACTGAAGGAAATTAATCGAACACAAAAGAAGAAATATATCTCACCTCTTTCTGGTTACATAAAGTAGAAAACCCAAACCTCTTCTTCTCTGTCAGGCTAGTGGACTAGTGGACTCTTTCTGTTGTTCTGTAGCTTTGAATCCTGTCAAAGGGAAGTTAAAAAGTCATAACCAAACTTGGTCAGCATGATGTGTTAAAAAATCAGAAAATTGGGCAACAAAAAGATCCCACATATTACCCTGATGTTCCAGTGGTGGTTAGAGTTGAATGGGAGAGACATGCCTTGAAACAAGATCCAGTTCAGCCTAATCTTTCTTCTGCAGACAGAAAACTAAGATGTCAAATAAATATTAAGACTTTATAATAAATGAGACATAAGGGAATTTTTGAAAAGAGCAAACACAAAGAGGAAATCTTACCTTCTTCTCAGAAGTAGGTTGCTGTTGATACCACCAATGACAACTTGCTCCATATGTTAGTTCCATCTTTATCGCAAGTTGGACGTCAGATTAGTCTTCTTCCTGTTGTAATACAAGACAAACTGGAGAAGTTAATTATCACACTCATATGTTGTCACATGAAGTACAAGATCTACAGCAATTTTCAAGGCTTAAAGAAAAATAACAGGCCACAGAGTGAATAAAGAACAGAAATCCAAAGATGCAACAAATGCAGCAAGTTACCTACCCTTCAGGCTGATGTTCTCCACTTGACATATCTTGGCAATGGGCTTCTCTTTATCTTTTGGCTTGCCTCAATTGTGTTCCTATCAAAAACCCTGGAAATATGCAACTGACAGAAGATTAGAAATTATTCAAAACAATTCAAGTAAAGGGAAAATAATTGAAATAGGAATTTAAAAAAATTTCACCCTTCTCCGGCCATAAAACACCTTAATGTTGGGCTCCTCTGTGTGATACGCTATGCATCTTTTAATCCTGTCGAGGGAATGTCATGATATTAAAACTTCATTCAGACAGCATCAACTGACAAACAGAAAATCAGGAATATGGCAGCAAGAAGAGTCTGAATGTTACCTCATCTTCCAGTGGTGGAAAGAGTTGAATGGGAGAGACACTCCCTGCAACACAGAATCCAGTTCAGTCTCATCTTTCTTCTGCAGACAGATCAAAATACTAATTAAGTCTTTTTATGTCATTAATCCTAAGATTTTATATTTAATGAGAAATGATAAGATGTTTGAAAATAGCAAACAAAGAGGAAATCTAACCATTTCAGAAAGTAAGCTGCAGTTAATACAACCACTGACAATTTCCTTCCATCTGTTTGTATCATCTTTACTCCAAGATTGGCCTCAGTTTAGTCCTCTTCCTGTTGAATTACAATAGAAATGATTAATTACTGTAAATTCCTAAATAAATATGAGGGACTTACTATAGCAATTTCTCAAGAAGCACCACTTGTGAAATACATATGTACTTTCATGCCTATAATTTTATGATGTAGGAATCCATGTAAAATTTCTTTACTTACTGTCCATTTAAAAACAAATCAAACATTCTGCAGTTTGATATCCAAGATTAGGTACTGAGATGTACAATACTTTTTAAAGGCGTATATTGAGTAATATAAGGTCAGAGAGTGCAAGCACAGGAATCAAAAGATGCAACAAATGCAGCAATTTACCTACCCTTCAGGCTGATGTTCTCCACTGGACATATCTTAGCAATGGGCTTCTCTTTATCTTTTGGCTTGCCTCAGTTGTGTTCCTATCAAAGTTCCTGGAAATATGCAACTGACATATGATTAGAAATTATTCAAAACAGTTCAGTTAAAGAAGAAATCATGAAAACAGGGTTTAATACAAATAAATAAATAAATCTCAGCTTTTTCTGTTTTCTTTCGGAATAAAACCTAAACCTTTTCCTTGACACTTTCATGTCCCCTTGACTTCTATTGGGCTCTTTCTGTTGCTCTGTATGGTGGGTACTGCTGCATTTAATCCTGTCAAGGGAATTTCAAGAAATTTAAACTTAATTCAGTCAACAGCAATTGAAAAGCAGAGAATTTGAAAAATTGGGCAGCAAGCAGATATTGAATATTACCTCAACTTCCAATGATGGCTGCAGCTGAAGGTTAGAAACACTCTTTGATACCAAAAGATCCATATGTCTGCATGCTTGTTTTTCCTTTGGCAAGATAACAAAGATGTCAAATGAATGCATATCAAATGGATCATATCAAATCAGAAATGTTTAAATATTTTTAAAAGACCAAAGATGGCATCTTACCTTCATTTCAGGAGTGAACTGCATTTGATTCCTCCACTGAAGCTTCTTTCTCTTCATGTTTTCAGTCAATTTTAGCTAAGCCCTCTTCCTTTTGACAAAAAAGACAAATGTTTAATTAATATCTAATGTTTCAGAGATTAATAAAGAGCAACAGAATGCAAGAAAAAAATCAAGAAGATGTGACAAATGAAGCTACTTACATACCAATTTTAGGAAATGTAAGCCTCTAATCATATCTGAGCAATGAAATTCTCTTCTTCTTGTGGCCTGCCAGGGTTGGCTGTGTCCTTTATCAAGGTCCCAAAAAATATACATCTGAGAGAAGATTAGAGATGACTTAAAACAGTAAGTTAAAAAATTGGAGGAGAGGCATAAAATTGGGAATGCATATTGATGGATATGATAAAATTATTGTAATAAAGGAAATGGAAATAAAGACATTGAAACACCTAACCTTTTCCTGGTTTCTTTAAGAATTAAACCCAAACCTCTTCTTTGAACCATCTCTGTTGGGGTCCAAAATCTCTCTATTGCTCTTAATGATAGGTCCTGCAGCTTTTAACCCTGTCAAAGGGAAGAAATCAAAATATATACCAATCAGCCAGCATCAACTGACATAAAAGTGAAGAATTCTACAGCAAGCAGATCCTGAATGTAATACCTTATCTTCCAATGATGGCTGCAACTGAATGGGAGAGACACTCTTTTGATCTACAGAATACAGTTCAGCCTAATCTTCCTTTCGCAAACAGAAAACAAAAATATAAAATCGAAATCAAGATTTTAAATCAAATTAGAACTATCAAAAAAATATTTTTTGAAAAGAGCAAAAAAAAAAAAAAGATGGAATCTTACTATCATTTCAGGAGTGGGCTGTAATTAATCATGTACTTCACTGAGGATCTTCCTCCACATGTTCATCCCATATTCATCTCAAGAGCTCTCCTCCTGTTGAAAAAAAGACAAAGGGTCAATTAATTACACTTCTAAGATTAATGAATAAAAACAGAGTGCAAGAGTAGAAATCTACATGACTATGCAACAAAGGCAGCTTGTTACGAGGGTTGTCCCAGAAAAACGCGAACTTTTTGAATATTTTAAATACTATTCAACCAAAACTAATAATTTATGGCATGATGTTGGGAAATCATCTTTTAGATGTTATGACAAAATATTATAGGCATGTGATGTCATATGCATATAAAAACAGCATTTAAATGATGTTAAATGTCGGTGGTCGGCGCACGACAATTTTTCGACTTTTACAAATGACATTGTGATTGAAGTTTTCTTTGTTATCAGGCTATATGGCAATATAATATCAAAAATTTTACTATCATAAATACTCTATGATATGGCGTACTTGTGTTTAAAATTTCATTTATTTAGCATCATTAATGACAAATTTATGACGATATATAGCAAAGCGCTTTGAATTAGACATTGTCAAAAATGGTGACGTTAAGCTGTGATGCGGAGCACCAAATTGTCAAGCAGCACTTATGTTGAGCGGGATATGACTCCTGTATATAGAAAAAAAAAATGTTAATGATGAAAGAACACAAACATAATATGGGGAACAGGTTTATATCTAGTAGAAGAGGTTTTAGGTTGACTTGACTGGTATCTGATAGAAGAGAATGGACCACAAAAATTAAGACGGACTGAAAAGACAAGAGCGGGACGTCATAGGCCTACGTAAAGACCGCTGTTAAATAATTCGACCAGGTGGGTTTATGATCGGGATTGTGATATTGTCTATGGAAAGAATTACCCCCCCCCCCCCCCCCCCCTAATCTTTTAGTAACACTAGTACATGACTTGGTAACTAAACATAATGAAACACTTTGCCGAACGTGTGCTAAAAATGAATATTTATAGAGGCGCACTTTTCGTAACAAATTCGTAAACACTACGAGATACGTTTTGACGTCATCAGTGTTGCGCCGACAGCTAATTTGATAGATTCCTTTACATAAGAGGAAAATTTTATTTATAGAGATATTTCTTTGAAATTTTTAGACATTATTCAAAAAATGTTGATCATGATGTATCTCAATTTTTAACTTTATAGTCCTAGTAAAACAAAAGATATTAAAAATGTTCGCGTTTTTCTGGGACAACCCTAGTACTTACCATTTTGTCAGAACTGTGCATTGGACTTCTCTTCCTTTCAGCTTGCCCAGGTTTTTCCGAGTCCTTTGCCAAGTCCCTGAAAATATACAACTGACAGAAGATTAGTAAATATTCAAATCAATTCAATTTATCCTGAAAATCACATAAGCAAAAACACATACACTAAAATGATTTGAAAAAATGTTAACAAAATGGGGAGTTAACTAGGGTTAAGATGCAAACTCAATTCAAGTATTCACAGAAATTCATAAGCACATACATTGCACATGAACATGAAAATGAGTTGAACAAATGTAAGCAAAATGGGAGCTTTTAGTATAGGGAAGAGGCATAAAGGTAAAGGGGATATTATTAGTAATTTTAATAGAAGAGAATGTGATGAAAACACAAATAAATACACCTCACCTTTTTCTGGATTCTTTAAGAATAAGTTCATGCAAACCTCTTTCTTGAATCTTCTCTGATGGACTTCTCTTGTTTTGGCTTGCCTCCTTTTGTAAGTGTCCTTTCCTCAAAGTCCCTGAAACCATACAACTGACAGAAGATTAGAATATACTCAAAACAATATAATTCAAGTATTTGTAGAAATTCACATTAACACAAGCATTGTCAATTAGGTGCATTGAAGAAATGGGAAAAGTAAATTAGACAAGAGGCGCTTTGAGGGGGGGGGGGGGGGGGGGGTTGGGGTTTGGGGTAGGGGGGGAGGGGATGGGGGGGTTTGGGTTTGGGGTGGGGGAGGAGGGGATGGGGGGGTTGGGGTTTGGGAGGAGGGGATGGGGGGGTTGGTAGGAGGGGTTAGGGGTTTGGGAGGAAGGGATGGGGGTAGGGACTGGCTAGTAATGTTAATAGAAAGAAAAAGAATGGAAACAAAAAGAAATACAAAGAAATAAATGTATCTCACCTTTTTCCAGGTTTATTTGAGAATAAAACCCAAACCTCTTCCTTTTACTGATCTTCTCTTGTTTTGGCTTGCCTTTTATAAGTGTCCTTTCCTCAAAGTCACTGAAAACATACAACTGACAGAAGATTAGAATATACTTAAAGAAATATAATTAAAGTATTTGTAGAAATTCACATTAGCATAATCATTGTCAATTAGATGCATTGAAGAAATGGAGAAAGTTAATTAGATAAGAGGCACTTTGAGGAGGGGACAGGGGTGGAGGGTACGAGGGGGTTGGGGTTTGGGGTGGGGGAGGAGGGGACGGGGGTTGGGATTTGGAAGGAGGGGAGGGGGGTTTGGGGTTTGGGATGGGGGAGAACGGGCGGAGGTTGGGGGTAGGGGCTGGCTAGTAATGTTAATAGAAGGAAAACGAATGGAAACAAAAATAAATACAAAGAAATAAATGTATCTCACCTTTTTTCACGTTTATTTGAAAAAACCCAAACCTCTTCCTTTTAAAGGTCTTCTCTTGTTTTGGCTTGCCTCCTTTTGTTTGTGTCCTTTCCTCAAAGTCCCTGAAAACATACAACTGACAGAAGATTAGAGTATATTCAAAACAATTCTATTATTTGCTGAAATTCACATAAGCAAGAATTGTACATGAAAAATGAGGTAAAATTAAAGTTAGTAAAGGACAGTTAGGTTAAAGGCATGGGGTTAGGGGTTATGGTTAGTATTGTTAGTAGAATGGAAGAAAATGCAAATGAAGGAATAAATACTTCCCACCTTATTCTGGTTTCTTTTAGAATAAACTGAAACCTTTTCCTTAAATCTTCTCTGATGGACTTTCTTTCTTATGGCTTGCCTCTCTTTGTATGTGTCCATTGTCAAAGTTCCTGAAAATGAACAACTGACAGAAGGTTAGAAAATATTCAAAACAATTCATGTTTTTACAGAAATTCACAAACAAACACATTTGTACATCAAATTGAGTTTGGAAAAAAAGTTAGAAAATGGGAGAACTGTACTTTACTTAGGTTTAAGGGATATGGAAGAAGAGGATATTGTTCGTAATGTGAATAGCAGGGAGAAGAATGATAAAAGAAAAAATACTTCAGAATAAATAAATCTTACCTTTTTAGTCTGCTTCCTCAAGAATAAAACCCAAACCTCTTCTTTGATTCCCCTGTAATGGTCTTGTTTGTTAGTGTGTCCTTCAACAAAGTCCTGAAAATATACAACTAACAAAAGGTTAGAAAATATTCCAAACAATTCAAGTATTTGCAGAAATAAACATTAATTATAAAAATATATTGTACAGTAAAAAAAGTTAGGTTCAAGGGCATAGAAGTAGGGGAAAGGGTTAGTTAATGTTAATAGAAGGGAAAAGGAAAGGAAACAGAAATAAATACAAAGGAATAAATACATCTCACCTTTTTTCTGGTATCTTTCAGAAGAAATACCAAACCTCTTTCTTGATCGAGTCTTCCTCTAATGGACTTCTCATAATTTGCCTGCCTCATTTTGTGCATGTCCTTTGTGATTTATCCTGGAAATTTACAACTGACAGAGGATTAGAATATATTCCAAACAATTTTAGTATTTGCAGAAATTAACATTAGCAAAAACATTTTTATATCAAACTGCAAAAAAAAAAAAAAAAAAAAACTTGGCAAAAAGGGACATTCAGTTAGGTAAGATGCATATTGGAGGGGAAAGGGGTTATGGTTAGTAGTTGTTAATAGACGGGGGAGAAAAGGAAAAAAGAAATAAATACAAAGGAATAAATACATCTCACCTTTTTTCTGGTTTCTTTCAGAAGAAATACCAAACCTCTTTCTTGAAACTTCTTCTAATGGACTTCTCATAATTCTGCCTGTCTCAGGTTGTCTGTGTCCCTTGTGGTTGATTCTGGAAATTTACAACTGACATAGGATTAGAATATTTTCCAAACAATTTTAGTATTTGCAGAAATTAACATGATCAAAAACATCACAATCAAACTCCCCAAAAAAATATAAGCAAAAAGGGGCACTCACTTAGGTTAGATGCATATTGGGGGGGGGGGGATGATGGGGAAGATGGTTAGTAATTGTTAATAGAGGGGGAAGAAAAAAAAAGAAATAAATACAAAAGAATATATATATATCTCACCTTTTTCTGGTTTCTTTAAGAATAACACTCAAACCTCCACAGTAAAACTTCCTCTGTCGACTTCTCTTGTGTTGCCTGTCTCAGGTTGTCTGTGTCCTTTGTGATTGTTCCTGCAAATTTACATCTGACAGAGGATTAGAATATATTCCAAATAATTTAAGTACTCAAGAAATTAACATTTTTATATCAAGCTTCAAAAAAATGTAAGCAAAAATGGGCATTCACTTAGGTTAGATGCATATTTGGGGGGGGGGGGGGGGGGGGTTGATCGTTAGTAATTGTTAATAGAAGGGAAAGGGAAAGAAAAAAAAAAAGAAATAAAAAAGAATTAATACATCTCACCTTTTTTCTGGTTGCTTTAAGAATAACACAAACCTTGACCTTGAAACTTCCTCTAATCGACTTTTCTTTTGCCTGTCTCGATCAGGTTGTCTGTGTCCTTTCTCCAAAGTCCCTGGAAATATACAACTGACAGAAGTTTAGAATATATTCAAAACAATTCAAGTATTTGCAGAAATGAACAATTCACATTATCACAAATATAATTTACATCGAAAAAAAAAGTTAGGTGAAAGGACACAGAAATAGGGAACAGCGTTAGTAATTGTTAATAGAATGGAAAAGAAAGGGAAACAGAAATGAATACAAAGGAATTAATATATCTCACCTTTTTTTGGTTTCTGTAAGAATAAAATTCAAACCTCCACATTGAAACTTCATCCAACAGACTTCCCCTGTCTTGCCTGTCTCAGGTTACCTGTGTCCTTTCTCCGAAGTCCCTGGAAATATATAACTGACAGAAGTTTAGAAAATGCAAAATTTCAAAAAAACAAAAACATTGAACAAAATATGAGTTAAAATAAAATTAAGAAAGCAAAATGGCACAATTAGTTAGATAAAAGGAATTTAAGGGGATGGGATATGGTTAGTAATGTTATTAGAACTGAATGGAAGCAGAAATAAATTCAAAGGAATGAAAACATCTCACCTTTTTTTTTGTTTTCTTTAAGAATAAAACCCAAACCTATTCCTTGTCTGTCAGACTTCCTCTCATCAACTTCTCTAATATTGGCTTGCCTCTGTTTGTGTCCTTCATCAAAGTTCCTGAAAATATATGTGACTGACAGAAGGTTAGAAAATATTCATAACAATCCAAGTATTTATTGAATTCACATAAACAACAACTCTGTACATCAAAATGAGCTAAAATAAAACAAAGGGCAATGGAAACAGTAATTTAAGTCAGAGGAAAATGAGAAGGGGGGGTATGGTCAGTAATGTTAGTAGAAAGGAATGGAAATAGAAAATAAATACAAGGGAATAAATTCATCTCACCTTTTTTCTGGTTTCTTTAGTAATAAAACCCAAACCTCGTCCTTGTATCTTCTTTTGTAAGGCTTCCTGACTTAAAGCGGGTTCTTTTTCATGGGTGCTCTTCATGGTAGGTCTAAGGTCTTGCAGCTTTGATTCCTATTAAAAGGATATGTCAAGAGATCAAATTCCAACTTGGTCAGCATCAGTTGAGATGTAATACATAGAGACAATGATGAAGTTATATCTTTAAGAAAGGTTGAGTGGTCCAACACTAAACTATAAATCTCTGGGTGTAACATTTTGCACATTTGGTCTAACAGACCTTGCAGTTGCTTGAAAATGACTTGTTCCAAATGCTTTTGCTAGAACTCAAATCTAGCATCTGAAGCAAGTTTGAGAGTGTTCATCCCTTGATGCATCATCCATGCTCTTGTGAGATAGTTAGAAGTCGATGAATCTGCTCCAAAGCATTGTCCTGGTTACTTTTCAGAACAAGATGTGTTTGTGAAACACTGATGCCCCCAAATGGCAACAAAGTGAAAATTAATTAAATTTCCTCAAATATAAATCAAACATGTTGATACCCAAAGTAAGACATTTTTACAAATTTGAAAGGGTCAAAGTTATTGGTATCTAATAAAAGTTCTTGTCACAAGGATTACATATGTGAAGTGCAAAATCCCTAGCCCTTAGCATTCAAAAGAAATTGCCAAGGTTAAAGCTTTTTCAAAAGTTGGTCAAAATCTAAGTTCAAAGTCAAAGGGTCAAAGTTATTGACATCCCATGAAAGGTCTTGTCACAAGAATAATATATGTGAAGTATAAAAGCCTTAGCCCTTACTGTTCAAAAGTTATGGTCAAGGGTAAAGTATTTTTCAAAAGTAGGCCAATATCCAAGGTCAAGGTCAAAAGGTCAAAGTTGTTGGTATTCAATGGAAGGTCTTGTCACAAGTAATAAATACGTGAAATATGAAAGCCAAGCATCAACCTTTCAAAAGGAATGGCCAAAGTAAAAGTTATGAATTTTGGTGTAAAAGTTTCAAATTCTAAGGTCAAGGTCTAGAGGTCAAATTTGGTAGTACCCAAAAGAATAGTCTTAATTGTCACAAGGAATACACCTGTGAAATATCAAAGCCATAGTCCCACCCTGTCAAAAGTTATGGGCAGGGTTAAAGTTTTTGCAGCAAACAGACAGAAAGTAATTCTATCAATACTAAAGATATGCTAGGGACAAGTAGCTAGGGTGTCCATAAACAAGAGGCCAAAAAACTTATACTCTGCTGTTTTTCATTAGATTATCCCCCAGGTCCTTGTTATACCAATTTTGGTCCTGCCCTATCCCTAATGGCTATGATTTGAACAATTTAAAATTTATATATTATCCCAGGATGCTTCCATGTAAGTTTCATCATTTTTGGTTCAGTGATTCATGAGGAGAATATTTTCGATTTTTATTTCAATGTAAAATTTTCTATTTTGGCCCCACCCTACCAATGACAGTCATGATTTAAACAACTTTGGATTTACACTGCCCCAGGATGCTTTCACATAAGTTTCCACTTTTCTGGCCCAGTGGTTCTTGAGAACATTTTTAAATGACTCCACCCTATTATTGTCTTTTCTGAATTATCTCCCCTTGTAAGGGGACTTGGTCTTCATTTTTACAATTTTTAAAACTCCCCAAGAAAGTTTTGTACCAACTTTGGTTAAAATTGGTGAATGGTTCTTGAGAATTGAAAATGTGAAACATTTACAGATGGACAGATGAAAGATTGAAAGAAAAATATGGAAAGTGTAACAATGAAGGTCAATTGCAAAGAGAGACAGATTTAAAAAACAAGGGAAAAAGGATGTAAGACTGAGGAGACAAGCACTATACATGCCTTGAGATTGTCCTCAGCAGTTCATGATATTTCACTTACACAATATTGGAGGTCATATATACTGAAAGGAAAAAGAAACGCAGGGTAGCATAATGTTCAATCAAATTTTGACCACATGACCAAAAATTACGAAAATTGGTCAGATGAGAAATTTAGTTCCTGTGCACCAAAATCTGTATTCAGAATTACTCAATCGTAAAATTCATGACGTCACGTAAGGAAAACGCTAAAAAGC